GAATTGTTGTGGAATTATGACTGGGTACAGTGCCATAGACCTATGATCCCAGCTACTCAGGAGGCTGAGGTCCTGAGGCAGGAGGACCTTGAGTTTTGAGACCAGATATAGGTGAAGTCCTGGGTTGTATCTCCAGCACTGGGGAGGAAAGTGAGATGCTCATTTGGACCTCTTGTCAGAAGCAAGGGTAGTAATTGCTTAGAAGGTGTTCTGCTTGTGGCACATTTGAGTTCCCAGACAGAAACCTTTTCACTTCAAAAAGAATTCTATAAATCAGACCCTGACTGTATTGAAGGGCTATCCATAATTATAGAGAAATAGTGTCAAATTTATCTTTGAAAATTTACTTACTATTTTTTTTTTAAAGCTCTGGTGATAATATTGCGTCTATGGCTAAAAACTCCTCTGGGGGCGACATGACTGTTCTGCATTGTGATTGTAACGATGCTTACACAAATTTACACATGTGTGGAAATTCATGGAACTGAATATACTGCAAAAACAAAAAAAGCGAGTTTACCATATGCTAATTTTGAAATTAGAATAAAAAGAACTCTTATCCTTTGGAAGGACATAGTAAAATATTCATGGATGGAATGATAACAGCATCTAGTATTTGCTTCCAGGTAAAGCAAGAGGGAGGCAAGCTCTGGGAGTAGAAGAAACAAGTCCCACCACCAGCTGATAACTGTTGAAACAGGGTTTCTCGTACTACTCTCCAGGGGCTTGTTATGTTCTCTTCCCTCTTTTTTTTTGTATCTTTTCAAAGATTTCCATCCTAAAAAGTTAAAAATGGAATGCATTGGTGAGCAAGAATAAGGTTGCTTCCTTCTTGCATGCTTAAAGTTACACTAAGGCAAGATGGATACAAGTTGTGAAAGGGTTAACCCCAAACTCTAAAAGTACTTTCTAGACATTTGCTGAATATCGGCTATATGCCTGTCATTCTTCTAAGTGCTGGGGAGTCAAAAACTGAGCTGCTAAAGTTCTTGCCCTCAAGGAAGTTCAGAGCCCAGGAGGAAAGGAAGACAATAAATTAACAGCTACAATAGAACACACACACACACACACACACACACACACACACACAGGAATTGCCTCAAACTGTGCAACCAAGAACCAAGGCAGGAGTATTAAAAGGCTGTAGGGAAATGTCTTGAACCCAAGAACAGAAATTCATCCTGGCTTCATGAGACCCAGGAATTGGGAAGAGAAACACCTTAGGAAGCAGAGTGGCTAAGCTGGCTGTCTCCCCCACCCCATTTCTCCCTCCCTCCTCTATCTCCATCTTCCTTACTCCTTCTGGGAGAATGGGGTCTTTCATCTTTTCTTCCTCGACATGTCTATTCCCCTCTCTTGCTCCAGATAAACCCCATTTTCTCTGTTTTTTACTTAGCTTACCTTTGTCTTCCTGAAAATGGTCTCTAGTTCCACACTCTCTACCATCTTCAGATCCAACACTTACAGCTCAGTCATGGGAGTCATTGAGTCTTGATTCCAAATTCCTGAGGCAGAAACTCTTTTAGGTCAGTCTTGGGTCTAGTCCAAATGTGGTTGGTGAGAGGAGTCATAAACTTGCTCTCCTTCTGTTTATTCAGCAAGGGGCATGGAAACAGACCCACCCACTGAGAAGGGGCACCATGAAACAGACAATAACCAGCCTATGCCTTTATGGAAAAGCAAGGGGCCTAACTCTGACTAGGCATGCTGTGGCCAAGAAGGCAGTTTTGAGCTGAATTTGGGGGGTGGGTGGTGATAGTGACATGGTCAGACTAGACTAGGGTTGAGGATTCAAACAATTAAGAAGAATCAATAGACTTGATTGGCTGATGGAAGGAAAGCTGTAAATCACATGATTGCTTTAGCTTATCCTATTGAGGAGCCTCCAAAATATCAATGTTACCAAGATTATTTTATACTGATGCCTCCAGTGAATTTCCATTTACTTCAGCAAAGGTCTCTTATATTAATCAGCAATTCCAACTGCAGGGAAAACAGCATTACAAAAATCAGTCTGAGTCCTCAGAAGAATTTGACAAATCCTTCTACAGTTTAAGATTTTTGCTGCATACTGCATTCCAAGTACACATACATACACAGACATGCACACACACATATATACACAACTACTTTCATGGAAAGGCACAGAGCACTTTTGTCTGGCTCTGTTTATTCTATCTTTTTATAATGTATGGAACAAATTCTCTAGTCTATTAGTTGAAGAGAATTATAGCCAGCATATGGGATGTATTATAGTCTGTACGTATGTAAATGTGATGTATTTATAAATACAGAGACTGTGTGCAGATGCATGTTTAAAGACAGCTTTGTGGGTGTTTTTAAAACAGGAGTTGCTAGTTTGCAAATCCTTGTTTCTGTTTTGCACATTACTTCTTCCATTTCTACCCGTCAGTGTACTTCAGTGTGATCACGGTCTCCCATGTGGCTTCAGCAGCTTCCTAACTAGCCATCTTTGTCCATGACTGCTGAATTTCACACCTAAAAGTGTCACTTGCCCAGTGATACTCTCTGAACACCAGCATTCTCTGTTTCCCTGTGACCTACCAAAGGAAGTTCAAACTCTGGGTCCAGTGCTGTGGCTTGGGCATGCCCTCCAAACCTCATGTGTTGGAAACTTGGTCAGGCCTTTGGGAAATGATTAGGATTAGACTGTGTCAGGAGAGTGAGACCTATATGGTAGCATACGTGGCTGTATAAGAAGTAGAAGGGAGAATCTTCAAAGCTTTCTCTGTCTCATTATGTGATGCCTTCCACCATGTTACAACACAGCAAGAACGCTTCACTAGATGCTGGCACCATTCAGCTGTCTGAATGATGAACCACATAAACTTCCATTCTTCGTAAATTACTCAATCTCAAATATTTTGTTGTAGGAACAGGAAATGGATTAAGACACCTAGCCTTCAACATCATTAGAATTTCGTACCCTGAAACCTTCCAAGAACCTTTGCTAGTCCTTCATGCTCTGGGTAAATTGAACTACTGTACTACCAGATACCTAAATGCACAGAGATCTTTTCAGTCAGCATAGACTTTTCCTTCTGTTTGGACTAAATACTGTGTTCTTTTTTCTTCTCCACCTGCCAAGTGAATCTCCTCTTCCTTCTGTATCTTTGCTGATACACTCAGCAGGAAGTGGCTGTGTCCTCCTCTGCACACCACATTCTTAGCATATACCTTTAATCCAACATAGATATTGGAGGGTATCTGTCTCCAGATGTTACTCTGTGCACTCTTTCATGATTTTCTGCCTTGCATATGCTGTGACTGTTCCACTCTCCTCCACTCCTGCTTAGACAACTCCTTGTATCAGTCCATGGTGCAAGCAAGAATAAACTTTCCTTACCCTTAAAGAATTTGCCCAAAAGGTTTGGGAACTCATAATCTAATTGGCTAGAAGATAAACAGAAATGAGGAACGAGGAGGATTGTGCCTAAGGAACAGAGGAGGACTGTGTCTAAAGAACACCACTTTGTTTCTTACATTCTAACACCACTGCATCTGGGTGTTGTTTTTACTATCATCCACATCTGATATATGTGAATTCTATGCATCCTTTCTTTGGCCCTCTAGACCAAATTCTACCTCCTGGCAGGGTGTCTGAGAGATAGAATCATATGTGCACACACTCCTTTCCAGGAAAGAAATAGAGCCTCTTTATCTCTGCCTTTCTTTGAAGGAGTCAAATCTCTAGTGACCCAACAGCCACACACAATAAAGAATTTCCATAAGAGAGTTAGTCAGGGTTACACTAAAAAAAGATAAGCATCATCCACAACTTCTTTCCACCCTTCCAATCATGATGCTGATATTGCTCCATCTAGGAGGCTGATGTGAATGTCTCTCTCCTTTCCTCCCAGAACATTCTGACATTTCTCTATGAAGCTTATGCTGTGTTCAAAATCAATATTAAAAAGCAAAATAAGGCCAGGCGTGGTGGCACACGCCTTTAGTCCCAGCAGAGGTGGGTGGATCTCTGTGAGTTCGAGGCCAGCCTGGTCTACATAGTCATATATGGGTTAGAATCGAGGCAACCAAGCATAATGTCTGGACAAAAAAAAAAAAAAAAAAAAAAAAAAAAAAAAAGCAAAATAAAGCTATTCAGTTAGGCTCACTGGCCAACGTGCTGCAGAAACTCGCCTGTCTTGGCATGCCCCTACCCCACCACCACTTCAGCCTTGGAGTTACAGATGCATGCCACTGTGCTTGGCTTTTACATGGGTGCTGGGGAATGGAACTTAGGTGTGGAGAGCCACAGCCTCCGCCGCCATTACAAGATGGCGCCGGTATCCGGACCTTCTTAATAGTAAACATCCTGCTGCACCCATAAGGGGCGTGCACAAGAGCCTGCTCTCCCTCGCCTCCTCCCGTGGCGTGATCTCCAGCAACCAATCCGCTTCTTATACGTCATAAATGGGACCTTTAGGGCATATATAAGCAACAGCTCTCCCACTTCTCGGCGTCTTCGGTCTTCATCCTTAGTATGCTATGTAAGAGGCTTATGAAATAAACTGCTGCAGAAGGATCCTGACTTGTCCTCCCGCGTCGTTCTTGCCGGCGAGACGGAAAGCGGTCGGGGACAGTTTTTCACTTCTCAGTTTCTCAAGCAAAACACACTTCATCAACCAAATGAAGTTTCCAACAACCATTGGGTTCTACAAGACCCTATCCAGATGCAAATTTTCCATAAGATGGCAAAATAAAGGCTTGGAGCCTTTGTAATTCTGCTTCTTACCCTATGCCTCCACGTGGGTTACTGTCAGGAAGTTATGGAGGAAGGGCAAATGGTTCTAGAGGATCTCCAGGACAGCCTATCAGAAACCGAATGAAGTGAAAGGATGGGAGCACGTGCAAAAGAAAATAGGGCCCAAAGTGAAAATGGACCTCCTGGTAAGCCAGAGGAAGGCAGGGGAGAGAGCACTGTCGAAAAGGACGGAGCAAGAAACCAAGTAACAGGTTTTAGACAGGGAAGAAATTTACCAAAGGGGTATTTATACCCCACAAGGGAACTTGCTGCTCTGCAGTTAGAAGAGAGCAGTTTAAGCCCAGAAGAAGAGATAGAATTAGAAGAACAAGCAGCAAATTATGAAGAAAATAGATACAGGCCACTGGAATATAAGAACCCAGTGCCCTATGTTCTGGGGCAAGGGGCTGCTACTGCCCCCCCACCTTATTCAATGCAGCCATCTTGCTCACTCCTTTCAAAAACTGTGAGGAGAAAGTTAGGCATGGCCTTCCCAGTCTTTGAAGCACCCATAGAAGGGCAAGAAGGCATGGGACGGATCTATGCACCTATAGACTATAATCAAATAAAAGAATTGGCTGAAGCAGTAAGAAAATATGGAGTGAATGCAAATTTTACTTTAGCACAGCTAGACAGACTGGCAAGAGATTCTATGATGCCTACTGACTGGCAAACTATTGCAAAGGCTATGCTTAATAGCATGGGCCAATTTTTAGAGTGGAAGGCGCTATGGTATGAGGCTGCACAAGAGCAAGCCCGAATCAATGCAGCCTCCTTAACCCCTGAACAACAACAATGGACATATGAAATGTTAACAGGACAAGGAAGATATGCAAATGAACAAAATACTTATGCCTGGGGAGCCTATCAACAGGTTTCCATGACGGCAATTAGAGCATGGAAAGCTTTAACTAAAAAGGGAGAAGGAGCAACCCAGCTAACCAAAATTATACAGGGCCCACAGGAATCATTTTCAGATTTTGTGGCCAGGATGACCGAGGCAGCAAACAGAATTTTTGGAGATTCAGAATCTGCAATGCCTCTTATTGAGCAATTAGTTTTTGAACAAGCAACACAAGAATGCCGTAATGCCATTGCCCCTCGAAAGGGTAAAGGATTACAAGATTGGTTAAGGGTATGTAGAGAGTTAGGGGGCCCATTATCTAATGCAGGGCTGGCGGCAGCTATAATGCATATTGCCAAAAATGCTCCTCAAGGAAGAGGCAAAGGACCTTGTTATCAATGTGGCAAAATGGGACATTTTAAAAAAGACTGCAAGAGTGCAGCCCCAAATAATCTTACAACTGAAATCTGCGCTAGATGCAGAAAAGGGGCACACAAGGCCGAGAACTGTAGATCTATAAGAGACATTGAGGGAAAACTTTTGGTTCCCCCAAGGCCTTGGAAGAGCCCAAAGCAAGAATTTAAGCCAAAAAACGAGATGAGGGGCCCTCGGTTCCAGGGCCCAGACAAATATGGAAACCCCGCCCAAACATGCCCATGGTCCAAAGCCCAATTGCAGCAGCGATTCGGGGACCGATTTCAGGAAATCATCTCCCCCACGGAGGAATGGGAAGATTGGACGTGTACGCCACCTCCAATGTCCTATTAGATTCAGATCAAGGACCCCAACCTGTTCCCGTGCAGGTCTTAATGGCCTCTACAAAAAGTTTACAAGGTCTTCTAATAGGATGTAGTAAGTTTTCAGGACAAGAGATAATTGTATTTCCAGGAGTTGTCCAGGGCCCAAAATTTCAGGTTCTATGCTCCAGTCCACAATGGCCTATAGAAATAAAGGAGGGAGATACCATTGCTCAATTAATACCCATATCTAATGAAGAAAGAAATGAGGCCAATCTAATAATGGATTTGGGCTCCAGACCAAAGATGACTTTGAGTATACAGGGAAAGAAATTTGAAGGCATACTAGATACAGGGGCAGACCAGAGTCTAATCTCCTCTCATTGGTGGCCTAAAACTTGGCCACTTAAGCAGTCCAGCCAAACCCTTCGAGGATTGGGATATAGTTCTAATCCCACAATAAGTGCACGGCCTCTTTTATGGAGAACGGACCAAGATAAGGAAGGAATGTTTACACCATATATATTGCCTTTGCCAACAAACTTATGGGGACGTGACGTTTTAGCTGATATGGGAATGAAATTATCAGATGAAAGTCAGGCAGAAACTAAGACCACATGCAAAATATCTACTGCCGAACAGATAATGAATACAATGGGATACCAAAAAGGAAAAGGATTAGGTAAAAACCTCCAAGGCAGCATAGAACCCTTAGAAGCAATCACCAATAGGGAGAAAAAGGGATTGGGTTTTTTCTAGGAGCCATTGAGGGTCCCAAACCCATACCTTGGAAATCGGAGGAGCCAGTATGGGTGCCTCAATGGCCATTATCCTCCGAAAAGCTAGAGGCTCTGAGATTATTAATACAGGAACAAATAATGCAAGGTCATCTTGAATCATCTACGTCACCTTGGAATACTCCTATTTTTGTAATAAAAAAGAAAACAGGGAAATGGAGATTCCTACAAGATTTAAGGGCAGTTAATGCACAAATGTTAATGTTAGGAACTGTGCAACATGGCCTTCCCATTATGTCAGCCGTACCAAAAGATTGGCCACTTTATATAATAGATATTCAAGATTGCTTCTTTTCCATTCCCCTGCATACCCAAGATAGAAAAAGATTTGCCTTTTCAATCCCAGCTGTAAATCATGCAGATCCTGATGAAAGATATCAATGGAAGGTGTTGCCACAAGGCATGATGAATAGTCCTACAATCTGTCAGTTATATGTACAAAGTATACTTAGTCCCATCAGAAGAGCCTTTCCTAATGCGGTCATACTTCATTATATGGATGATATCTTACTTAGCAGCCAAAATAGAAAAGAGCTTGAGGTTATGCTTAAGAATACTCTGCATAGACTAAAGAATAAAGGGCTATATGTTGCTCCAGAAAAAATACAGGGTTCCCATTATGGTTCCTTTTTAGGGTCAAGAATATACCCAAAATATATACAACCCCAGAAGCTAGAAATAAAAAGACAGAACCTGCTCACACTCAATGATTTTCAAAAACTTATGGGAGATATTAATTGGTTGAGACCATTTCTTAAAATACCTACTTCAGAGCTCAAGCCTCTGTTTGATATCTTAGAGGGAGATCCTAAGATAACTTCTCCCAGGAAACTAACCCCAGAAGCAATAAGAGCTTTGAGAAGAATAGAGATTGCATTAGAAACAGCGCAGTTACAACGAATTGAAGTAGCAAAGCCTTTTTATTTGGTAATTATACAAACAGAAAAACTCCCTACGGCAGTACTATGGCAAGAAGGACCCTTATTGTGGATACACCTTCAGGCCACACCTCAAAAAATCTTAGACTGGTACCCTGCAGCTATGGCCCGAATTATATTTAAAGGACTAAAGACTTCCATAGAATATTTTGGGGTATATCCCTCTATCATTTATCTTCCCTATACCAAACAACAATTAGAAGTTCTGGCTACAGCTTCAGATGATTGGGCTATATTGCATACTATCTACCCAGGTACCTTTGATAACCATTATCCAAAACACCCACTACTTCAGTTTATAAAAAGACACCCCATAATATTTCCAAAGATAAACTCCTCCATACCCATAGAAAGGGCTATAACCATCTACACAGATGGATCCAATAATGGACAAGGAGCCTATGTAATAGACTCCAAAATATATGTCAAATCATTTAAAGAAACTTCCCCCCAGAAGATAGAATGCCTCATAGTTCTAGAAGTTCTTGAAAAATACTTGGGCCCCCTTAATATCATTTCAGATTCCATTTATGTTGTAAATGCGGTCCAACTGTTGGAAACGGTGGGGATCATAAAACAAAGTTCAAGTATAGCAACTATATTTGAGGCCTTGCAACAGGCGATATGGTCCAGAAAGGCGCCATTTTATATTACCCATATTAGGGCTCATACGGGCCTCCCTGGACCTATGGCCCTTGGCAACGATTTGGCAGACAAAGCCACAAAAATCATGGCCTTGATAACTCTTAATTCGGTACAATTGGCTTCTCAATTTCATTCGAAGTTCCATGTGACCTCTGAGACCTTAAGAAGACGTTTTCAAATCTCTAGAAAACAAGCAAGAGAAATAGTTACCAATTGTAAAAATTGCTGTGTATTTCTGCCTACACCTCATGTTGGCATTAATCCCAGAGGCCTTGTTCCCTTGCAAATATGGCAAATGGATGTTACCCATATACCCTCCTTTGGAAAATTGCAGTTTGTCCATGTCTCAATAGACACCTGCTCAGGGATAATAACTGCAACCCCACTTGCAGGAGAGAAGACCTCTCATGTTATTCAACATTGTTTAGAGGCATGGAGTTCATGGGGTAAGCCAAAAATTTTAAAGACAGATAATGGTCCTGCTTATACTTCCAAGAAGTTTCAAGACTTCTGTTCACAAATGGATATAACTCATATAACAGGACTCCCCTACAATCCACAAGGACAAGGGATTATTGAACACGCTCATCGCACCCTAAAAAACTATATACAAAAGCAAAAAGGGGGTATGGAAGCAGTGCTTACTTCTACTCCCCGAGTAATAATATCTATGGCCCTATTTACTCTAAATTTTTTAAATTTAGATGATAATGGACAAACAGCTGCTGATAGACATTACAAAAAATATACCCAAAG